TTATCATACATGTATCCATAGCCTCCCTAGTTGTTTGAGTTAAAGTAAAACGATTAAGATTTGTCGTACATTTATGTAGGCTCAATTTATCAAGATATTCCTTTGATGTCTAAATGTATCAAACTAACTTAGCTATCAAGCAATACATATTTGATTAGCAATTCAACATTAATGTTTTAGCAAATCAAGTTCTTTTAAACATTATATATTTTTACATTATGAAACAAATTCATCCAATTACTTATAATATTTTGGTATATCATTTCTATCAAGATATTTAATATCCTTTTCTAAGAAGAATAAATTTCACTGGGTAGTCCTTTTTTTACTTTCTAATGCTGCAGTGGTAGAACGACAAATTTGGCGTTGAGGTGTGTTCAATTGGGCAAATTATTGCGTCCGGTCAGCTGACATGCGGACAGCCAATCCAGAGATGCCACCTCACCCGGATGCACTGGGCCCCGATATTTTTGAGTAACGTGGCATGTTTTTATTGGTGTCCGGACGAATCCGAACACCAGACACAATAATTTGCCGTTCAATTGTGATGCTATGGTGCTGGAAAATAGATAGCATGACACTACAAAACTGACATTTTAATGCAGCGCTGTTGTCCAACAAAGAAGTTAATGCTTCATTGTCATTAATATTGTGGCACCTTATATTGAATTTGCTTGAGCTACAGCATCATTTTGCATGACGCCGAGATGGTATATGAAACTTAGAATTATGTGTCCTTTTTATACATTTTCTTTAAAATATAACTAAAATAATATATTTCTATTAAAAATATATCACATAAAATAACACATTATTTATGCTTATCAACTTCCTCGGGTGATCAACACTCTTTTATTCACTTTATTACTTTATTGACACGTGCGCTTGCGTATTTAAGAGGTATTACATATCAAAGAAATCTAAGCATATTTTAACATAGAGCATAAACTTAATTCACACATTGAACGTAGCACGTGCCAACTCACCTGCATGCACCATCAAATTTTTAGTACCATTGCTGGGGAAGTAATGTGCATATTATAAGTTGAGCTACATTGTTAAACTAGTTATAAATTTAATCCTACTGGTATCTTGTATCATTTTTTTTTTCTTATTTTGAAATTTAAAAAAAAAAGATTTTTTTTTTTTTGCATATTATAGTTATTTTATTTTATATAATTTAATTTTTCTATTGCTCTTTCATGTGTAGTAGATCTAGTAAGGAGCCATTAATATTTGACTTAGAGATTGAGGCTTAAAAATTTAAAAAAAGCCATAAGACTTTAACTTTAGGTGTGGCTGAACCAGTTAATGATCAAGACCATCCTAGACCTCTTAAGGAGTATGTCAATCCTCTAGTAAATGGAATTATCATAGTATTATAAAACTACTATATATGTTAATAACTTTGGGTTGAAACCTACCATAATTCAAATAGTTCAAAATTTTTCTAGTTTTAGGGAACTCATGTTGAGGATCTTAACCTATGCTTAGCTAGCTTCTTAGAAATCTACGCAACATTCAAGTGTAATGATGTTAGTGATGATATTATTAGGCTTCGATCATTTTCATTTTTTGCTAATGTACAAAGCTAAGTTATGGTTGAATTCCTTACCCTCAATCTCTATAACCACTTGGAATGAGTTGACACATAAATTCTTAGCCAAGTATTTCTCAGCTTCCAAAACTACCAAGCTTATGAATGATATCAAATCCTTTTCCCAATTTGAAGGATAGTCGACCCATCAAAGATGAGAGAGATTTAAGGAGATGCATGAAAAATCCCCTCACCATACTTCACTTAATTGATTAGTTATTCAGACATACTATAATGGATAAGTTGGGTCCCTTAGGTCAATCAATGATGTTGCAACTGGAGGATCTTTAATATCTAAGTCATTTGATGAAGCCTGTGCACTAATTGACTAAATAGCTATAAATAACTTTCAGTGGCCTTCTAATTAAGTGAATCCTAAGAGAGTAGCTGGAGTGCAAGAGTACTCAGATGCCTTATCTATTTTGTCTGCTCAATTAGCTATTATATCTAAAAAGTTAGATAGTTTTAGAGTGAATTCATGATAAGGATCACCTATGCAATTGGAAGAGAAGAATTTGAATTTTATTGAAGAGAATAATGTTTAAAGGATCGAGAATATAAATTTGATTCAAAAATAAAATAAACCTTATACAAATACTTACAATCCAGGTTGGAGGAACCTCCCTAATTTTAGTTATTATAATCAAAATATTTGTGATAACAATAAGTGGAATGCATGTTAAGAAAGTTAAGAAGGAAATTGGAATAATCCTTAGTAGCATGTAGTAAACACTAGACCTTATGCCCGAGGTTTTAATTAAAACAATCAATTCAAAGATAGGAAGGCACCTTTGAAAGAGGTAGTGATTCCATTGAGAACTCAATTGCAAATTTAAGCTAGTTCGATTAAAAATTTGAAAAATTAATTAGGATACATTGCAATCTCTTTTAGTAGTAGACCTTGTGGATTATTACCCAATAATATTGAAATTAATCCAAATGAGAAAAAGAAGGGTCTTAGAGTTAATTAGTTGAGAAGTGGTAGCGATCTAACCCAACCAAAATAATATATTTAGGCAAGTCTAGCTAAGACTATAAACTTAGCATTGCTTGAGAAAGAACCCAATTATTTTGATGTTATGTATTAGTTTTTATTTGTTTGTGTAATTTTGATATTTTTATTGTTGTTTATTTTGTAATTATGAAAAATGTAATGGTTGTGTCACATGTGTTTTACTAAGTATGGTTATGACCAATGCTATTACATATCATTTTTTTTTCAGAATTCACATAAGTTCTAAATTTAGCCTAACACCGCAGCAACAAATCATTAAGCACCACAACATTTTATTTCCAAGGGCTGCATCATTTAAATTAAGCACCAATGTATTGATGTCTCAGGAAAATTGGTATGTTACAATGTTTAAGTACTAGTTATTTACGTGATATAGTGTTATTCATAATCACATAAATCTTAAACCTTGGTCCATATAGTGTCACAATGTCAAAATTGATCTTTGTTACAACACTGGTGCATAATGTTTAATGCTATTGTATGATGAAACTGCTTTCATTATGATTATTTATGAAGCACCAGCATTGGATCAAAATAATAATTAGTCTTTAAAGTGCCACAGTAGTGCTACAGCGTTATTCATAATCACCTAGCTAGCTATAATACATGTTTGTTGGGAAATCTTGAGGAGGAAGAAGCTTCTTGATCTTTTTTGGATGAGAGGGAGAGGGAGAAAAAAGGGAGAAAGAGGTTTTGGAGAAAAATAAAACTTAATTTTGTTCAATTTTTTTCTATCAAACACATAAAAGTAACCACTACTTATAGAAAAATAATTAGAGAGGAAATAAGTAAAATCTATACTAAACACCTAAATCTAGATTAAATATTAGCATTATTAAATAATTATATATTACATAGAGCAGGTATGTTATTTTATTAATTTCTTAAACAAAATTTTTAATTATTTCTAGCTTAATTTAGTTTATCTTTAAGTTATTTATAAATTTAAAATTTAGTGTGATCTAGAGTCTCAATTGAGGAGTAGAAGAATAATTAGAGGTTTTGAAACGTAATCTTGTCATGTATAGACATGATAATTAGGGTTATGAGGTCTTAAGAAGATAATAAAATTGTAGTTGGGATGAATCTTAACAAATACTCAAATGAGCTCAATAGAGATGATGAGTACTTACACTCTAATTCACAACAACATTAGGAATAAACCACTCTTATGCAAGCATGTGTTTTTAAATATTATAGGTTTAGAGAGCTTCTAAAAATTAGTAAAATTATCTTTTGGCACTATAACTTTTTTTTTAGATTGGCTATCCTCTTATGAATCGATTGACTAGATAAATACAATAGTTTTTTAAAGCAATACTCAAGTGAATTTTATAAAATATTAATTCTCATGAGAACAATATTTTTGTCATCACTTTATTACTTGACACGATACATATACATGCATTGAATAGGTGTTATATCATAGAATTGAACAAATTATAATTAGAAGAATAAAGTAGTGTGGGTGAAGAGTCTGTCAGTAGTCCCAGAAAGATATAGCTGACTAGCATCACGAGGTCATTGGTGACTGGTGGTAGAGCTCTAACATGGATGTCGATGAGTGCATTTAGGCTGCAGGGATGACAGGTTTCATGATCGACTGGCTATGACAGGTGAGCTAGAACCCTCTTGGATGGATGTTATTTTCTAGTTGATGTGATGAGAATAATCGGCGGCACTCTATCATGGATAGGGATGAGTGACGAATTGAGTGATTTGCGATGACCATAAATTATCCTTATGAAGGTGACTACCTTGTGAGTGCCTTATGGAATTTGATCTTGTGATCTTTGGGCAAGCTCTCTTATAGGCCCATGAGATAACAGCTCAACTAATATGATCCCCCAACTACTTGTTGAATACCTGAAAAGTTATATACAAATATAAAATTAAATTGTGATCAAATTGAAAAACATATTTATTTATCTATCATTTGTTGAATTTATTTATTATATCATAAACAGAAAAAATTGAAAATTATGTTAATAAATATATAAAATTTATGGTCATACATATGAAGCTATTATTACTAATATTTTATTTAACTAATATCACTCTCGCTGATCGATTTTGCACCCTAAGCTTACATGCTAATGAACACCAACCAAATAATAAATTAATTATATTTCGGTTACATCAATTAACAAAAATTATATGATATGATATTCCTAAAAAAAAAAAGTCAGAGCAAATGTCAGCTACCACGCCTCTCGTGTAAATTTATTAGAACCCCATAAAATTCGGAACAGAAAGTAGGGTAGAAAAATAAAAGAAAGAATAGCGGAATTGTGACCTTCTAGACCACGGATTGGGCCACAATCGCGGCCGCCCACAGGTTGGCGAAATGACCGAAGACCACCAAATCCAACGGGCTATAATGGGCCACTCCATCTTTTTCGCGAACATCGTTCGCCATTCCCCTATTTAAATCGCCGATCCCTTTGCCTTCTTCCATACCTTGTCTTCATAGTCTGGTTATTATTTTGTTTTTTCTTAACCTCATAGATCACGAAGATGTCTTGCTACCGTGGGAAGTACGCCGGTTAGGATTTCTTTTCTTCGTGTTCTTCTTTTTTTTTTTTTTTTTTTTTAAGAATTTCAGATGATTGATTTGTTTCTACTTTAATTCTCTGCACATCGTTCTCTTACGGAGATTCAGATCCTGAGTAGATCGAGAAATTTTTATTTTTTCTTTCGTCGATCCTTTGCCTATGTCATGATTCAGATCATGGATTAGGCTATTGGATCAATTCTTAAATCTCATTTTTTAGGGATTAAATATTCAACTTTAAAATTGAGTAATCTCTTGCTACAGATGAACTGATCAAGAACGCCGCCTACATCGGCACCCCCGGCAAAGGAATCCTCGCCGCGGATGAATCGACCGGCACAATCGGGAAACGCCTTTCTAGCATCAACGTAGAGAACGTGGAAGAAAACCGCCGCGCCCTCCGTGAGCTCCTCTTCTGCACTCCAGGCGCCCTCCAGTACCTAAGCGGTGTCATCCTCTTCGAAGAAACCCTCTACCAAAAAACCGCCGACGGCAAGCCCTTCGTTGACGTCCTCAACGAAGGCGGCGTTCTCCCCGGCATCAAGGTCGATAAAGGCACCATCGAGCTTGCCGGCACCAAGGGCGAGACCACCACTCAGGGTCACGATGACCTCGGCAAGCGCTGCGCCAAATACTACGAAGCCGGCGCCCGCTTTGCCAAATGGCGATCCGTTCTCAATATCGGACCCAACGAGCCATCTCAACTCTCCATCGACGCGAACGCAAATGGCCTCGCACGCTACGCCATTATCTGCCAGGAGAACGGCCTCGTCCCCATCGTAGAACCGGAGATCCTCGTCGACGGCTCTCACGACATCAACCGCTGCGCCGAGGTTACCGAGAGGGTGCTCGCCGCGTGCTACAAGGCGCTCAACGACCACCATGTACTTCTCGAGGGGACCCTTCTCAAGCCCAACATGGTGACCCCAGGTTCCGATGCAGCCAAGGTTTCGCCGAAGGTGGTGGCGGAACACACTGTGAGAGCACTGCAGAGGACGGTGCCGGCGGCGGTTCCGGCGATTGTTTTTCTCTCCGGCGGGCAGAGCGAGGAGGAGGCGACGCTTAATCTGAATGCGATGAATCAGCTCAGCGGGAAGAAGCCCTGGAGTCTGTCTTTCTCGTTTGGACGCGCACTGCAGCAGAGCACGCTCAAGGCTTGGGCTGGGAAGGTGGAGAATGTGGAGAAGGCGAGGGCGTCGTTCCTGGTTCGATGCAAGGCCAACTCGGAGGCGACGCTGGGGACTTACAAGGGTGATGCTAGCCTGTCCGAGGGGGCATCGGAGAGCCTTCATGTCAAGGGATACAAATACTGAGTTGCTGTCTTCCTTCTTTGGTTTCCATTGCTGCTGTTGTTTTTTTGTTTTGATGATGGTGATTTGGTCTGAGATCATTGATGAATTCTACTTTTCTGGTCTGCTTCAGTTTTCTGATTCCGTCATAGTAATATCTGGGAGGTAAATCATGAGGATTTTCTTTTGGGTTTTCTTGTTTCATGTTTAATTTGACTCGTTCGTGTTTAAATTTTTGAAGGAATTTCTTCCTGTTTTATTGTTAAATGTTGAATTTTATTGTTGTTTTCTTGTTTAATTTTACTCATTGATGTGATCAAGAAAATGGTTGCGCTGCTGTTACACTTATTTCAATTTATTTGCGTGTTTTCTCCATAATGTTATTCTGAGTTATAACAGCTAGAAGAAGAAATTTTAAGAAGAAGACAGTGTTTAAATTTAAATTAGTTGGAGTAGGACTCTAAATTTTTTTAAAAAGAAGTAAAATAGCCAAATAGTTGGCGCATGGAGGGCTACAATCGAACCAAATGTTCAACGAGCTACTCGTTGTTCGGTTCGATTAAAGTTTGGTTGTGATTGTTCAATTTATTAAACAATCAAATTTGAATAATATTTTAAATATTCGATCCTTAAATAAACAAGCTTGAAAATTAGTTTAAAATTGCGCAATATGAGGCTCGCCTTAAGGCCTGCATTTGCGCAATTCCAATAAAAAACGCCTCGATGCTTATGTCTCGAGCTTTTTTTATGAGGCTTGCGCCTCAACTTGGTTGAGGCTCGTTTTGAGGCCCGCCTCGCCTCACTGGCATAAGGCTTACGTCTCACTATATATATATTAAAACTTACATAAATTTTGAAGTAAAAGCCCGACATTGGACTCCATAGGAGAGGAGGATGGGGAGAGAGCAATTCATCATAATGATTATTCAAATGAATAACCCTTTAGTGATGACAGTGCTCATGACTTATGAGTTCTTATGTGATATGTCATTGCTATTTATTTTTGAAAATTAGAATTAAATGTTAATGAAAAGAATACTAGGATTTCAGAAAGATAAAATTTTGAATTGAACTATATTTCATGTTGTCTTATTATTGAGATATTTTGATTTCACTTCATATCTTATGTTTTTTTATGTTTTATATTATTCACTCATTAGTGTATAAAAAATTTATAATTTCATATTTACTCAATCTTTTGATTTTGAGGCTTACGCCTCAAAACGCATTGAGGCTTACGCCTCGCCTCACGAATGGAAAACGCCTCAATACTCGAATACAGAATTTTAAACATTGATGTGTTTTACTCATTTATATTCATGAACAATATTATTTGAAGCTCGTGAACAACCTCGATAAGAAACTTGATGAAAAAATCAATTTGGGTTGCGAATAAGCTCGATAAAATTTTAATAAATATTTTATTATAAAAATTAGTTTTATATGTTCATGAACTTTTTTTTTTAACAAAACAAATATATTAAGATAAATCCAAGGCGGTTACAACAACAAATGAACAAAAAATAAAAAAAGAGAAGGCAAAATACAACTAAAACTGGGCTCAGTAAAACGGCCGAGGCTCCTAGCATCCTAGAAGCCTCGCACGGACCATCCAAAAGGAGACAGCATCGCCCAAAATCCACCAACTCTAAGAACCGTACCAATGGTTGCCACCAGCAAGATTATAGGGTAACGAGCCTCAGCCACATCATTGCCCTATCAACCAGCGCACTATCAAATCGCAAAAAACAACCCGCATAAACAAAGGAAAAAATACAGTATACAGAAAAGTTATCTTCTCCTTCATCCCCTCCCACGAAATCTCCTACGAGAGGCAACCGAGATAACAGGCCTATCACGAACCAAAGTAAAATCGTCTCCAGGGTTAGATCCACCGCAAATATCCGGAGAAGCCAAACCACAATCCGAAAACTCAGATTCCGATTCAAATTCAGACGACCCATTCAGCCAATCCATATGGTTCCTCATATCAAATCTAGAATTATCCCCCAAACGATTGACCATAGTATGTGTATCGACCAAATTAACAGGGACATCAACTAAAGTGTTAGAGCACACCGAATTTTCTTTCAAATTATCCACTCGTACACAATCAGGAATATTATCCACATGCACAACCGGATTGCACGAAGCCTCTACACCTGGCGAAGGAGTTTCCGAATCATCAGCCACAGCATTATGAACAACAGGGACCACCACACCATGAACAGGAGCAACAAACTCCACAGGCAGCAAAGCCTCATTAACCTGCATAGAATTCGAAACCAGAGGAGCCACCACACACATAGAATTCTCACAAAGGTTCACAGAGGGAACCACAGCAACAACCCCTTCCGTATGACAAATACCATCCAACGATTTAACCTGCAAAACCGCGGTGTTAATAGGCACCAACGGGCCCATATCCAAAATAGGGGGAACAAAAGGTAAGGCATTTGGAGATAACACAGTAGCAGCATCAGAATTATTGGCAACAGCATCCAGCACAACATTATCCTCCTTAGAGAGACCAAAGTTCACATCAACAGGCACATTCAATTCAGGCTTCCCGCACGGGGCATCCACAGGTTTAGAAACTTTAAGAGTAGGATGTAAAATAGGGCAGAAATCCTTATAATGACATAAGGAATTACAGTGCATGCAGAAATGAGAAATATCATCAAAATTAACGGTCTGAACATAACCCGTTTCCACAGAACCAACCCAAATCTTATCAGCATGTTTCTTGGTAACATCCATTTCAACAAGAATATGATCCATAGACGAGCGGGAACCCGACGTAGTAGCTATATCCGACTTGAGTGGGCGACCAAAGAGAGAACCTAATCCGAATAGAATCCTCAGAGAAAATAAATGAGGCCTACGGAGGGGGAAAGAAACTCAGATAGGCACAATAGGAGAATCCACCTCAACATCCAAATTGGGAGACCATTTCACCACTTTCATATAGCAATTTTGAACAAAATAAGATCTATGTGAAAAAATATGACAATAATCAAAGTCATTCACCAATTTAATCAAAACATTCCGGTGATTAAGAACAGTGACCGAAAATTCCCCTAACAGCTTTAAATTAAAGCAAAAGTTATGAATGGCATCGACAGAAGGTCGCCTACCCGAAAAACGGCCAACCAAAGAAAATTCAAAGGGTGCAGCAAGCGACCGAACCTCTTCCTCAGAAATCAATAAAGCCGGCAAGCCACGATGAGAAGAAATACTTAACTCAGGGAAGGAAGAAAAAGAAATACCAGATAAAGCATCCTTAAACGAAAGAGGCGCAGAAGCCCCACTTAAAAATCCAGGATCACGAAGGCGAGCAGACGCCATAAGGTAGAAACACAAACACTAAAATACCTGAAAATCTAAGGAGAAGAAAACCCTCAAAAATCGTTGAAGCGGAAGGGGCGGCGGAACCCTAGTAGAGCAAGCGACCAAAACATTTTAACTATTTAGAGTTAGTATGTATATGTTCATGAACTTGCTTATTTGATGGATCAAGAATACTCATTATATATGTTCATGAGTGTGCTTGTTTGATAGTTTAAAAAAAAAATGTTAAATATGTTCACAAACACGTGTAATGTAATTGTTTGTTTGGAGGTTTCATAAAGCTCGTTTGTTAAGTTAATTGATATCTAGAGGCAGAGCTCGTTTATATCTCATTATGGCTTGTTAGTTTAAAGTTCGATAAGCACTAAATAAATCGAACGTTAAATGAACATAAATCAAACGTTGAACACTCATTAATTCAAATGAACCAAACATGAACACAAACAATAAAGCTCAAATTAAACATGAATCAAACTTGAACAAGCTGATAATAAATGAACTCAAACATGAACACTCACATACTCGGCTTGGCTTGGTTCGTTTGCAATCCTAGGTGCATTTAATGAGATTCAACAAATTGTTTGGCGCATTCCATTGAATGCATCAAACTGCTTGGCATATTTTGAATTAGACAAACAATTTGGTGCATTCAATAAAATGCATCACATTGTTTGGAGCATTAATTCTATGAACGTTACAATCCTTCCTGCAAAATTTAATTTGAGTTTGACAACGTGGCTACTTGAAATTTGTTATTAAAAGGAGCATATTTGTTGTCGAAATAAGCGAACAAAGTAGTATTACGTGGTAATTTAAGGAGCAAATACGGAGAAGATTTGCTTGCATTAAGAAGATTGTGGAAAACCCAACCCCGTATGTAGAATGAGGAGATTCGAAATCCACATTTAGGCTTCATTTGATTTTTTTGTACTTTTATAAAAGACAGTTTTAAAAAATATTGATACATAAAATGAAGTTTCGTAACGGAGAAGCATATATAAAAAGCTTTCTTAAAACAACAGAAAAATGAACAAAATGTAATTTTTAGGAACGTGATTTGACGAACCAAACAATAAAGAAGAAATGAATTTGTCATTTTAAAACCGAATAAGCACCAAAAACTTCCAATCAAACAAAGCCTTAGTAGAATGTAGAACTCGGTTATTCGTAAACATTTAATTTAATAAATATATGTTATTCATTTTGTAATATTATAATAAATAAATTAAGTATGTAATTAAATGAGTTATAATTAGGTCAAATTTTATAAAGAAGCATAATAATAATCAAAATTAGTAAAAGGAGCATCAGTTAATAAAAATTTAAATTTGAGCCGATACAATATATTAAGTGATGCATTCTAAAAAGCTCCAAATAATTTGGCACTATTTAAAAATGACATTTAATTTGACGTATTATACTTATGTCGAAAGAGAGAGAGATATTATATATGACAGTTGATAGCGGCGAGGGAGAGGGAGAGAGAGAGATGTCAGCAGAGAGAGGATAATCAAATATTTAAATTAATATTTTAACTATTTTTAAATATTTACATAGTTTAAAAAATACAATATTCAATATTTATTATTAAAATACATATGTACAATATTCCATATTTATTATAAATAAATTAATAGGATTGGTGATACGAATTATAACGCTCTTAAAGCTTGTCTGCTTCGAGCGCACTAAGCCATTTGTTAATATATACAGCTCGCTCTATGCTACTCAGGTTAGGTTTAGGATATACATTTCTAAAATTTAAATATTTTTGGAATGATTTAGAAGAATTAATACAAATATACCCTCTTGAGAAGAGTTTTTATTGGAGGAGTTTTAAATGGACATGTTGGTAAAGAGGTAGTTGATTTGTTAAAAGAGGTTCATGGTGGCCATTGGATTTGGACGAACGAAGA